CGTCAAGGCGGGAGAAGCACCGGTGCTGGGTGTGGAACTTTCCGCATGTCTGACCCTTGCGGTCACTTGTATGAATGACATACGGGCAGCGACCACCACCCCCAGACCTCCCACGCTGACAAAGCCACTCACGAAGCTGCTGGGTCGTCCGGGGACTCTGTTGCTACTGCTGTCTCTGGCCAGCGCCCGTACCTCCATCCCGACCACCACCTCCACTGCCACCGCCGCCCCGGCCGCCACCGCCGCCGCCACCGCCGCTGGCACCCCCTCCGCCGCCACCGCCTCCACCGCTGCTACCGACGCCACCACTCCTGCTAGCACTCCCCCCACCGCCCCCTCCGCCACCTCCTCCTCCTCCACCGCCTCCATCACCACCCCCCCCTGTGCCACCTCCGCTACCCTTGGCTCCTTTGCCCTTGCCGGTGCGACGCCTTCCACTAGGAGCAGAAGCAGCACCAGCAGATTTAGCACCAAGGTAGTCAGCAGTAGCAGCAGTAGCAAAGGAGGGGGCGAGGGGAGAGGGAGAGCACCCCTCAAAGATGGGGGTGCGAGGACCTACATGAGCAGCACCAACAGCGACAATGCTCTTCTCTGCTGTAAGGAGGTGCTCCTCTAGGAGGTCGATAGTGAGGTCGGTGGGACAGCGAGCGAGAAAGTGGTCCCTGACCGAGCTACGAGAGTCAGGGAGACGAGTGACTATGAAGTGGAGGGTCCAGTACATCGGAGGCGGGTGCTTAGCACAGAACTTTTTTGGGGAGGGCGGCGCGAAGGCGGGTGTCGCTAGTGCGAAGGTGGGTAATGAGATCGGCAACTGTGGCAAAGGTGGACAGCTCAGGAAACAGGTAGGGCAGCATGAAGTGGCTAAGTCCAGCTGTGGCAGGGGAGGAGTACCAAGCAATTACAGCATCGTACAGGGTCTTAGCGGTCTTGTACTCGCCAAAATGCGTGAGCTCGGCTAACGGAAGGTGATTGTGGACGGCGAGGCGTGCAGCAGCATCAGGAGGAGCGACTGAGGCACCAGTCGTGTGGTCATAGAGAGAGAGAGAGACATTGTCCTTGCTATCGCTCATTAGGAACAGCTGCAGGTCATCTAGCCAGGTCTCGAACTGAATCGGGTGGCCCTCGGCATCGAACGGCAGAACTCGGAGGGTGGCCATAGCTGCTAGCGCGGGACTAGCTGGGCAGAGCGATTGCAGGTAAGCAGTAGTAGCAGCAGCAGTAGCACTAGCAGCAGCAACTGTAGAGGCAGCAGTGCAGCAGTAGAAACCGGTCTACCAGGCAACTAGGCAGCGCGGCTCGGCTCAGGCACTGCAGCGCGGCTCGAGCGGTGCAGCGCAGCTGCAGCAGCGTAGCAGTGGCTGCAACAGCAGTGCGCGCGGTGGGTGGGCACAGCAGGCAGACGCGACAGCAGAGCAGGCGGCACACGGGACTGCAGGGGGCCGGCAGGAGAAGGTGCAGCAAGTAGCAGTAGCAGTGGCAAGGAGGAGCAGCTGCAGCAAGTAGGAGCACCAGCAGCAAGGAGGAGCAGCTGCAGCAAGGAGGAGCACCAACAGCAGAAGCAGCAGCAAGGAGGAGCAGCCGCAGCAAGGAGGAGGAGCTGCAGCAAGAAGGAGTAGCTCCAGCAAGTAGCAGCAGCAGCAAGGAGGAGGAGCTGCAGCAAGTAGCAGCAGCAACAACAACTCTGGTGCAGCACCGCGCTAGGAGTTCGCGGGCAGGGCGAGCAGCGCGCGAGCAGCAAATGCAGCGCGCGAGCAGCGGGGGCAATGCGCAAGCAGCGGGGGCAGTGCGCAAGCAGCGGGCGCAGCATACGAGCTGCAGGACAGGGCGTCGCGTGGGCTGTACGGGCTACGCGAGGGCCTAGCGCGGACTGTACGGACTGCGCGCGGGCTGTGACTAGGCAGAAAAAAAATTGTCTCGCCTAGAGGACGGGACGCGCCTAGGGCAGAAAAGTCGTCTTGTCTAGGGCGCGTTTCGGGTAGGATAAAAGATGGGACGCGCATAGGGGTGTGACTCGGGCAGCAGAGCAAAAATTGAACGGTGGGCCCCTTAAAAATCCGGTCGTAAGGACCACAACGCTCTTAATACCATGTTAGACTAAGAGGAGGAATGATGTGCATTACGAGAAAGTTTTGGTACAAGTGAAAACCCTAAGGGGTTGTACCCCACATTGGCTACCCCATTACAGCCTACATAAACTAGCATAATATATATAGTTTGACAAGAAGCGTTGGCTTGGACACGGAGTGCGCGAAGACCTGCAGTATAAAACCACGGTCGCGATGATGCCGTACGACAAGAAGGTGGACCCCGGGCTGAACCTGAGCCCTAAGCAGTTTCGAGGGTGGGCCGCGGACTTGTCTGCTGCCGTAGAGTTACATACGGGCCTTTTCATCACAATGCACTACCACAATCTCATGGCCAGCAAGGACAGGTGAGCTATCGCTAGACGCTGTGCCAAACCCCCATCAACTAGTGCGTTCACAGGGTTTTTTTTTTTTTTTTTTTTTGGAGGGGGAGGGGGGTTGAATTATCATGTTTTGTCCACTCCACTGCGTGGCAGGTGGCAACGCATGTTTGATGCCTATCACGCGCTAACCCAGCCCGGAATGCACACTACCAACGAGATTGCATGGGCCGCGGTGGTAGGCAAAGAGGCTGCAACACAGGAGCCGGGTCTCGGCGATGTGTCGCCGATAGATTACGCAGGCGCAGTCGCATGCGTGATTGCAATGGTGTGGGAAGTGACTCGCGGGTCTAACGTCACGGTTACAGCAGATTCTGGACATTTGGCCGCGCAAGCTGCTGGTTGCTATGAGGAGAGAAGTCGTCTCTTCCCCGTCGTAACCGCGTATGTCATCAATGCAGTGCGGAAGAGCAGTGCCCGCGAGCAAGCTAAGGACGAGGAACCGAAGGTTGTCGCGGCCGCGATTGTATCTGGAGTCGTGAAACGAGGTCGTTGGCCGGTCCAGCGATGTCAGGCACATCCAAATGGTCGCCCGCGAGACGGTGGACGTGCTTGTCACCTGGGGCGATTGCTCGGTTGCAGGGAAGGTCGTGGAGTCCAAGGGTCTTTACCTTTCCCTGCCCAAGGATCGTCTGTCCGTGAAGAAGCGGACGTGAATCCGTCTTGTATCGCGTAGCTTGTGCGTAGCTTGTCCACCCTGCTTGAGTTCTACTCGCGGTGGATTACGCTGAACTCGCGGACTTGTGTGCATGTAGGATTCTGTGTGTGCGTGCGTTTGCATGAGCTACTAGTGTTGACATTTGAAACCATCTCTAATGAACCCCAAATCATGGACTAACACGGTCGGCGAGCGCGACAAGGTATTCCCACAAACAAAACCTTTCACTTTCAACATTGTTTTTCTCGAGCGGGCTGAATCGCATTGGTGCGGTTGAGCCAACAATACACCACGTTCAGACCAAACGCGATACATATACACCCTATACTACTCGCGATCGCGATCGTGAATCACCGAAGTTTGTTGCATGCTAGGGTTAAACCGATGACACCAAACGTCATGTGTGAATGCGAACAATGAGCAGTATATGTCATCATCTTCTTAAGCGATCCTCACATTCGGAAGCACCAAGTATAGGGTTTTGCAACACAACAACTATCGCGTTCGACAAAAGGTGTCAAATTAGTAGATAGAACTTAGTAGCCATAGCTAGGGTTTGGGGTAGGAGGGGAGGAGCATGTCGAGAGAGTTTAGCCAAAGAGAGGTTTCACTATAGCAAACAAGGAACATATAGGTGAGAGAACAAGAATAAGAGGTACACCACCAAGCAGGAAAGTAAGATAACTACACTACATCTAGAACTACATGCAGTTAAAACAATATAATTCTGACAAAAGGTACTTATAGCATGGCGGACATACACTATTTTACCAACGCGAACAACACGCGGACAACCCATTTATTCTAGTGGTATTGATGCACAGTACTGTGGCCACGCGACCGTGAACTCAGACGCGGGAAGAGAGGCATCGATGAGATAGTCGCGAACAAGCATCCATTCCACACGCAACTGCACCTCCACCGAGGACCCCTTCTTGAGCTGGCTCAGGTTCAGCTCCACACTCTTCTACTTCACCGCGGTCCCTTCCGACAGTCCCGACACGCCTACAGCTCCTGACATACGATCGAGCTTGTCGAGCACTAGCGCGATGTCGTCTCCTTGCTCCACCCTGTGCGCGATGAAGTCCATGACTCGCTTGACACGATTTAACGTGTTCTTGCCACCCCCTTCCTTTCCAATGAGCTCAGCCAATCGCGAACCTACACCGCGGTTCACCAGTAGCGATTCTGGACTCTCCAGGATAAGCAGATATGTGGCCTTCTACAGCTTCCATCCGTCCGACGGTTTGGTCGCTTGGACCCATGGGAGCACGATCGCGTCGCGAATCGTCTCGTCCCTAGTCGGCGGTGCGGGTTTCTTTCACGTAGTCTGTTTGGTGGGTGTTCTGACGTTGGTGGGAGCGGCCGCGGCTCCAGTATTGATTGCCGGACTCAGATCCGCGGTCGGTTGTGAGCTGTTCACGCTGAGACGCGAAAGCTGTGCCTCCAAATCATTCACGCGCTCGTCCTTCGCGGCCAGCTTCTAGTCACGATCCTCCAACTGCTTTTCAAGCTCGGTGACCTGTTTCTGAGTCGCGTCCAGCTGTAAGCCGAGCCTGGTGTTGTTTGCTTGCGCATGGGTCAGGTACTCAGTGAGGACTGTCACCCGCTTCTGCGTGTGCATCCAGGTACTGACCTCCTGCATTGACAGATAGCGCAATCACGTGATCGGTGTTGGACTCACGACGCCACGAGTCTGTGTAGGTGTGTTGCGCTGTACTATGGCCAGCTGATTGGCCAAGGACACGTCTGCAGCCCACTCCACGAACTCCTCCTTCTGGCATAGCGGGTTCCCGACCACATACGAGTGCTTCGGCTGGTGGATGTAATACATGGCCAAGTCGGTCGCAACGCCATCCTACCCTCGCCGTCCAGCTCTCACAGTATGTTGAGGCCCGCAGTGTCCTGTTTCTCCGGTGTCTTCTTGCGGACCATCCTCCGGTTGTAATCCATACGCTGTTCACAAAACGAAATTCGCGGTAAGGACCGGGATGGCAGATAGATGTAAATAGTGATCGCGATCGCAAACGTACCTGCTTCTGTCCCTTGCCAGGGGTGGCCCATGGGAAGATGTGGTTCCTTAGTAGCTTCATCAGCTCCAGGCTGGGCGGGACCTTTGCGCGACCCATGTAGTAGTCACCGTCCACCCCTGTGAATCCCGCCTTCAGCAGCACACCCTCCTTCGGGATCGTGGTGAGGTAGTGTTTAGTCATCACATCTATGAAGCGCCATCCCCCCAATCTAGCCAGCTGATCTGAGGGCATTTCATCCGCGGACGCGTGCTGCGCACCTCCCACCCTGGTTGCGTGGACCACACGCGAGCATGTGATTCCCACGTCCTCCAAGATCTTGGTCGCCCAGTTGTGATGAGTCGTGGGCGGTATCTTCTTCTCGTTACCTCTGCGTAGGGGAAAGAAGATGTACTGGTCATACCACTTGCCGGGTTCCGAGAAGTCTAGAGGGGGGGCTATGTCCTCGTACACGACGAGAACCACATCGTACCCCCAATGCAGCCACACCAGAGTAGCACTGACCGCGCAGAGCGTCCAGTCCAAGTGCCGCACCGCCGCGATATAGTTGAGAGAGAAGTTCTTGTTTGTCTTGCCTGTTCTGCACGCATAGACAAACATGAACGCGTCCTTTACCGGATCCGTCTCTAATTTAGCTCCAAGGTTCCACATCATCATGTCGGGCAGCTTGAGGTTTCTGATCGTGCACCCGCGGGCTAGAGTGTGATGACCGAGCACGGTCATCGTACGGATGCACAGGTCGCGATGCAGGCCCTATGTGTAAGCGTGCTTGGCTAGTGCAAGCTGCTTAAGATGGATTCCATGCTTGACTCCTACATCATGTGCTTGAACTATTCCGGGGTGTACGTGTCCGCGGCTGTGCCGCGATGGCGATCCATGTGTTCCCTGCGCATTCAGTACCACGATTTTATGCATGTTAGTTGTTGCGGTCGTCATAAACATTCAAGTTATTGGTCGCGTTACATATACTCACGCGATAAAACGCTTGTACTGGTCGCGGACTTGAACGCGAACCCAGATGCGACACTCCACAAAGTCACGCAGTAGGTTTAGCACAGGCTTCCGAAAGATGGCCCAATTGAGCTTGATCAGCATGTTCAAGGCCTTGAGATGGCCCATCATCATTGCGGGGGTGCACTGGCGTCGCTTCTTCAGGGTTTTGTCGGGCCTTTTTAGTGTTGCCATCATTTCCGCCTGCATGACTGACTCGTTCGCGAGGAAGGTCACGTATTTGTGTAAGCGCCATGGATTAGTCTCCGGGCCGTGAAACCATTACTCGTCGCCAATTGCCTGCTTCCACCTCGTACCCATGTTTTGTTTGAGTGCGGCCGCAATCTCGTCGGGGTTTTTGTTATTCAACGCGGCCTCCTCTCCGAACCTCCCCTTGTCTAGTTTCAGCAACTCGTGCGCCATGAACTGCTTGTACTCGTTGGCCCAACCGCGGTACTTTTTCAACGTGGCCTCAGACATACCGTATAGAATTCCCATGCACATCTGGCTGGTGTGTTGTCCACACCAAGCCTGTTCCAATCCACGATCGGGGCCTCGTTGGCTAAGTGCGGTACCCGCACCCGGTCGTTGTCTTCAGCCTCGTCCTCATTGAGCGCGGACAACAAGTTTGATAGGTAGTTTTTGTCATCGTCATTCCACCCGTCACCATCTTCGTCTTCATCATCATCGTCGTCGTCGTCATCCACATCGCTCAGCCCCTTGCCCCCCTCCCCGGTCCCGTTGCGGGTGGTGTCCGTCACTACATCGACTCTCTGCCTCATTATACGCGACCTACTGACTGGCTGGTTTCCGGTACCTCCATTCGCATTAATACCTTTCCTTCTCCCGCCGTTGCCTGGTCCCCCAGGCGCTCTCCCCGCATTCGCACTACCCCCGTTCCCTCTCCCACCGGTCCCTCTTCCCGTGTTCCCGCTCCCACCGGTCCCTCTTCCCGCGTTCCCGCTCCCACCGTTTCCTCTCGCACCTGTCCCTCTCCCCGCGTTCCCTCTCCCCGCGTTCAATCTCATACCATTCCCTCTCCCCGCGTTCAATCTCATACCATTCCCTCTCCCCGCGTTCCCTCTCGCACCAGTCCCTCTCCCCGTGTTCCCTCTCGCACCAGCCCCTCTCCCCACGTTCCCTCTCGCACCAGCCCCTCTCCCCGCGTTCCCCGCGTTCGTCTGTGGTTGCCTACCTCTACCGGTCGCATTCGCAGCGGCTGGTTGCGCAGGGATGCTGATATGGACGTCCGGGTTCCCTAGCAACAATGAGTTCACGTTCCATATCGGAGGCGAATGTGCATGCACAATTGCATTCATCCCCACTCCACCAGTCACCGCATGTCGTAAACCCTCAGTAACCGCGATCGATGATGGGCCATCTGTTCGCGCTTGTGTGTCCACACCGACGACTAATGGTTCTCTAGGATCTTGCGGGGCTTGCACCGTTGGTGGGATTTCCATAGGAATCGCGTTAGGAAAGGGGGTTGCGCGAGCGACTGGAGCCGTCGCGACAGTTGCGGGTGCGTGCACCATGGGGCCTGGTTGAACGCCGATGTACCTGTACCTAAATCCGAAATTTGTGTATTGCGGCCCGACGTAGCCACGAACAGGCATCCCAAAGAGCTGGCTTGTGGGCCCCGACGCGGACGTGGTGTGTTGTCCGTCAGTCTGTGTTCCGGGCTGAGGCGTGAATACTCCATGCGTGTTCTGATCATCTTGTTGGGTCTCAAACGCGAACGACGCTGATGCAAAGGGAATCTGTGACCGCGGTGCGAGGTGAATCCCGTTGACCAGCTGCTGTAGGTGGACTACAGGTGGGATTAAGCGATGACATGTTCTGCACGGGAGCGCTTGCTGGTCCCGCATTGTGAATTTGGGCGCGAGTGTATTGCTGTGACATTAAGGGAGTCGTGAAGTATCGGCGCCACGGCACGATTCACGGTATGCATGCAGCGTACGAGATTGCCCCTACTCCTACGTAACGCGTGCGTGAACATGATGCAAGGTCTCTACATGTACATCCAAAAAAGCAGTGAAAAATACTCCTCTCGCGTGTATTATCGATTCGTGAGGAGTATCGCGACCAGTAAGTTCACAGACATTCAAGCGCGACCCATATTGAAACCGCGACACTCGACACCTGTTTCCGGCCTAAGTCCGCTGAATTCAATGGGTCAAGAGAGGGCGGAGCTTGATGTGCAACTAGCGAGCGTAAAGCGTGATTGTGGGCATGCAGGGAGTAATGACCGGTCACGGCCTAGACGTGCTTGGCACGTCTCCGCGTTCGCGTCTCGGCCAACAGCGACACCTGTGTGGGTCGTTCAAAATTGCTGCACGTGTCAGCCAGCATGGAGCCTGTCAAATCACGCCAAGTGTTTCCAAACCACTTCTCACAACGCGCTCACCTAACCTATCTTTATGCGAACTTTGTTCACGACATGTTTCGAGACATCGCAACCAATCCTCTCACTCCGTTTGATTCACGAACGCGTAGTTGCATGCGCACAATTTCCCACTTGCCAATGTTAACGACCAATCACGTTCGTTTTTCACCGAGTCGCGCATGCATTGGCGCGTAAGAACCACATGGGTTCTTGCGGTTTTTGGGGGGCCGCGGAGCTTTCGGTGGCAGTCTGGTGGGTAACATTGAGCCACGCAGGGCCACGCTAGGTCCAAAATTGGTGGGATTATGGAGGGCCAACTTCGCCCCACGCTTCCCGCGATAGCTCTGCGCCCTGTACATCCCCAGGCGTGGGCGGGGTTTTTCTCGAGCCGCGCCGTATGAACATACCAGTTGGGGTCACCCTGCTATCAAACAGGGCCAATGCACTCCTTCTAATGCCTGCTACTGAGCAACGGGCGGTTGCAATATACTCAGGCGACGCAGGTGAACGCGTTCAGTGGTGCTTGTTCATTGGTGAGTGATGAAAATCTTCAAAATGCTTCTTAGTTTCGCTGGGTAGGCGAGAGCTTCGAGGTGGAGCGTTTGGAAGTGCTCATTGAATTGCGACCAAATTTATCGTCTGCATTATTGCTGAGGCGACTCGACAGATCGAATCATGTATTGTGTACGCAGTAGTGTACTTTCCACCCACCCACACTAGTTGGTATAGTAAGACTACTCACCTCACCATATATTGTAGTTGGATAAGAGAGATCCAAATGACCAACTAAAATGAAGCATGTTTTGCGCAAGACATACCGTAAGAGCTTTCTAGATATGCAGTTAATAGCTGTGTAACACTTTTGTATAGACAACTTATTATATACAACCCGCAAGTCCTACCTGCTGGACCAAGTTACACACAAAAAACAAAACAGTCGGTGGCAGTGCTGGCAGCGGCTTCAGTTCAGCGGCAGGAGCAACAGATCTTTTCACCACTGCCCTTGGCACCCTGTCCCGTTTCAGGTGCTGCAGTCTCTCGCACTGTCGCATTCGGAGCGATGCAAGCACCGGCAGCAACCTCTATTTCCAGCTCACAAATGCAAACAGTACCCACCCACACTTCCAGAACCACTTCTGCTACCCCCTTGACTTCCTTGACCTCTTTGACTTCGACCTCGTCCACCTCTCTTTTCCTCTCCCTCATTCCCTGTTCCTCCACCCTTCCTCCCCCAACTACCCTACCCTCGCTCCCCGCAACCCTCCTGCCTCCCCCTCCACCCTTTTCCCCCTCCTATCCCCCTCCCCCGCTCCAGCCCCCTTGCTTTGAGAACTCTCAACAACCTTCCCCCTGCCATCCCCCTCCGGTGCTACAGCCCACTTGGATTGAAACACCTGGTCGGTACAGCAGAGCATGGAAGCGAGAGAGGGGGGCGGGGAGACGCCTAGAGCCTGCAGGCGGCTGTAGCGGGGCTGGATGCGGCGGTGCAGGCTGTAGCCGAAGAAATGGGGGAAGGTGGCGGCGTGTGCTAGGGGGCGACCCATGGGGCCTGTGAGGAAGGAGCACTTGGCTTGGATGTTGTCGGGACTGGTGAGGGTGGGATGTGGAGTGAAGGAGGCAGGGAGGGAGAGAGTATTATGAGTTCAGATTGAGAATGGGGATGGCCCATGGGACCTGTGAGGAAGGCGCACTTCGCTTGGGTGTTGTTGGGACAGGTGGCAGTGGGGCGTGGAGGCAGCGAGGGAGGGAGGGAAGGGAGGAGGGAGGAGGGATGAGGTTGGAAACATGAGACAACTTTCACAAATGGTGAGGCAGGAGCAGAACGAAAGAAGCTGAGTGAGGCTTTAGGAGGATCTTTCCCTCCCATCCCAACCCATCCATCCCTGCTTGAAACCACTGCTATCCGCATCCTTACACACCTCCTGATCTCTCCAGCTACTTGCATCCGAGAAATGCAATCACAACCTTTGCCCGGCCTTCAAGCCAACCCCTTCAATCCCACGTCCCTCTCCATTTCCCTCGACCTGCATATTCCCTTGAATCGCACAACACCGAACCAACCACCATGCCACGGCACAAACCCCACCCGGACCTACATCCCCCCCCAAACGGTCTGTTGTATTGATTCAACAGGGGTACAGACATGCAGTTTGATTCATGATACCCTTAGTCCCTTTGACCCTTTAACCCACCCCTCTGTCCCCCCCCTCCTCTCCTCCCCCTTCCCCCCCCTCTAGAGACCTGAGCAGCAGCAGCGTGGGGAAGAGAACGAGCATGCGGCGAATGTCCTCTGGGGAGAAGCCAAGCGCGTGACTTGGCCAGGGAGGATGCTGGGGTGAATGTCCCCTGAGCCAGGGAGGAGTGGTTGCGGTGCAGCAGGGGCAGCGACAGGCACAGACAGCACGTTGGGCCTTTGAGTCGACTGAAATGTCACCGCGGCAGTATGGCTGCCTGCTGCTGCCCTGTCAGACCCCCACAAACGCAGGCAGGAACCCCACCCAGCCCAAGGAACAAACCCCATCCAGACCCACGCATACCCCACCCAAACCTACACCCACCCCCCCTTTCCAGAGACCTGAGCAGCAGCAGCGTGGGGAAGAGCATGAGCATGCGGCGAATCTCTTCATGTGAGAAGCCCAGCGCGCGCAGGGAGGAGTGGTTACGGCGCAGCAGGGGCAGCGACAGGCACAGCACGTTGGGCTGCCGTGGCAGCATGGCCACCTGCTGCTGTGCGGTCAGACCCACTGTGTGCGAGAGGAAGAGGAGTTTTGGTCGCAGTGTGTGTGGCACTGACTGGGTTAGCACCTGGACAGGGAGGAGGGCAGTGGCAGGAAAGGGTTGGCTGCCTGCTGCTGTGGGGTCAGCCCCACTGTGTGCGAGAGGACGAGGAGTGTTAAACGTAGAGTGTGTGGTACTGACTGGGTTAGCACCTGGGGAGAGGGGGTGGCAGTGGCAAGGCTCCCTTTCTCAAGTGGTCCGTGTATTGATGCGTCACTGGCTCTCGCTATAGGCTCTGATGCTTGTGCTCCAGTGGGTGCAAGGCGTGTTTCAAGTGATGTGTGATGGGAAGAGCAGAGTACAGGCACACAGCATCGGATGGTATGAGAGGGAATCGGTCGCACCTGCGGTGCTGAGAAGACAATCCGACGATTTTTCAGGCTCAGGCTCTTCGGAAGGTTTAAGAAGGTGCGAGTTTTCAGCTGAAGAGAAGCTTGAAGACAACAATACAAAAGAATGGTTGAAGTGCTGTGGAGTCTGACCTCTTGGGTCCATTCCTTGCAGTTTCTACTACCTGTGGTGCTGTGGAGACCAGTTTGAGCAGCTGTGGTGGTGAGAGTAGGAGGTTCGTGGACAGGAATTCAATGGCAGGTAACAACCTCTCCTCCAGGCTGCAACGAGAACATGGAGTGGGGGAGAAATGGGAGACGGAAATTAGCTGGGCAAAGAGAACGAAAAGCAGAAAAAGAGCTGGAAGATGAAGAGAGATGGAAAGAAAAAGAGGGAAATAGAAAGAGAAAGAGATCCAATGAAGGACCGTTCAAGAGATCGGAAACAGCTGACACACAGCTGGCTTTGAGAATTCTCAAAAACACTCAACCACCCCTCCGTTTCCCCACTCACCTCCTCTCTTCCCCTTCATATCAACCTCCCCATCTTATGCTCTACCCAACCTCGGCAGTCGGTATAGCAAGCAAGCAGCAAGCAGGCAGCAGCTTGCAGGTAGCAGCACCACACCGGCAGCAAGCACTCAGGCAGCGGAACGTAGGCAAACAGCCAAGAATGACGGAGCAGTGGCAGCAGAACCTACCTGCAAGCGAGCAGCGAGGGGCATCGGCGCGGCAAGCAACAAGCAGGCAGCAGCACCGCACGCAGGCAACAAGCACCCAAGCAGGGAGCAGTGGCAGCAGCAACTAACCTGCAGGCGAGCAGCGAGGGGCATCGGCGCAGCATGGTGCCGAGCAGGGGCGGTGTGAGGCCGGGGAGGACAGCGCAGAGCGCAAGCACCTTGGGCCGCAGGTTGGCTTGCAGTGAACAGCCGAGCAGCTTGGGGTAGCCGCGCACTATGCGAGGGATGACGGATGAGGGGATGTGGAGGTGGTGGTGGAGGAAGGATGTGAGCGGGATGACGTTGGCCTGGAGAAAGGTGGTGGGGGGGACATGGGAGGTGGTGGGGGGAATGGGGAGAAAATATGGAAGGGGGTGGGTACCCGCACACGGGGATGTGGAGGTGGTGGCGGAGGAAGGATGTGAGCGGGATGACGTTGGCCTGGGGAGGGGTGGTCGTGGGAATGGGAGGAAGTGGAAGGAATGGGACGAAGCGGAGAGTATGGATTATGGGAGGTGGTGGGAGTGAGTGCGTGTAAGGTATGTGTACAGCGAACGAACAGGGGACGAGAGGCGGAGGTGGGGTTGCATCGAGGGATGGTGTGAGGGATGAAGGACGAGACCATGAGGGGATATTGAGGTGGTGTCGCAGGAAGGATGTGATATGAGCAAGAGGTCGCCCCCACATGCCCCTGCATCACTTACATGCACTGCCTTGCCGAGCACAGGAGGATACACCTCCACCACCTTCCCAATGTCCACGCCCTGACCAGATTAGACATTGCCACGCATCATAACAACAGGATGGGCAGTGGGCAGTGGAGAGAGGGAGGCGGCTTTTGAGTCTGCTCATCAGTCGCCGTGCCGAGCACAGGAGGATAAACTTCCATCACCTTCCCAATGTCCACGCCCTGATCAGATTAGACATTGCCACGCACGTCGCACATAACAACAGAGGTGACTTTTGAATTGATTTTTGAGTCGACTCAAAAGTCGCCCTGATCAGATTAGACATTGCCACGCACGTCGCACATAAACAACAGGGTGGGCAGTGCGCAGTGGGGAGGGGGGAGGGGGAGGCGGCTTTTGAGTCGACTCTATCCACATGCACTGCCTTGCCAAGCACAGAAGGATACACGTCCACCACCTTGCCAATGTCCACGCCCTGATCCGATTAGACATTGCCAATGTCAACATAAAGGCAGGGCGGGCAGTGGGCGAGGAGGATGCGGAGGTGAGGGGGTGAGAGGCAAACAAGCACCCGTTATTTGAGGGTGAGGTATTAACTGACGGTGCACTATTGCACAATAAGTCTAGTTTTGAAGCGCCTCAAAACTAGGGAGAGGGAGTAACTGGCGGTGCACTAGTGCACAATAAGGTGGGTGGGGTGCAGTGCAGTGACAGCTCCATCCAACACAGGCAAAAAACACACGCATACACAACCAGAGAGAGGGGCACAGCAGAAACAAACAAAACAAACAGAACAAACAGAACAAACAAAACAAAGCACTATTGGAGACTGACGGTGCAGCAGTGCGCCATGAGGTGCGTGGCATGGGTGTGCAGCAGTGCGAGCGGCATGTCGAGGAAGCGAGGGCAGCCCATGAGCACGGCTCCCAGGAAGCGCGGGCGCACTCCAATGCTCTGCAGGAACTGCAGCTTTGCTACCAGCTCTGAGAGTGATACCTGCCGCCGCTCCAGCAGGGAGGCCACTGCTGCTGGCTGTGGAAGGAGAATGGGAGCGGCAGAAAGGGGTGAGAAAGGGTGAGAAGTGATGAGAAGGATACCTGTAGCTTCGCCACCAGTTCTGACAGGGATACCTGCCGGCGCTCCAATAGGGAGGCCACTGCTGCTGGCTGTGGAAGGGGAATGGGGAGGGCAAGAAGTGGGAAGGAGAGAGTGGGCCATAGAGTTGTGCAAGAAGTGTAATGTGTGTGCGTGAGTGTGTGAGAGTGTGAGTGTGTGAGTGCATGTGAGATGAGACGTTCTAAGGCGCCTTAAACACCGTTGAGTTGCAGCGGGTAGGTTGGTTAGAGGTGCAAGGGTGCGCAGAAAGGTTGTGACGCAACGTGATGTGTGCATATGAGACTGTGTGTGTGTGTGTGTGCGCACGCGCGCCTGTGCTTGTACATGTGCACGCTCATGTGCATGTGCGTGTGCATGTATGTACGTACATGTCTGCATGTACATATGCATTTGCATTTGCATGTGCATGTGCATGTGCGCGTGCATATGCACGTGCATGTGCGTGTGTGTGTGCATGTGCATGTGCAATTGCATGTGCATGTGCAAGTGCATGTGCATGTGCATTTGCAAGTGCATGTGCATGTGCGTGTAAGTGTGCATGTGCATGTGCATGTGCATGTGCGTGTGCGTGTGCATGTGCATGTGCATGTGCAAGTGCATGTGCATGTGCAAGTGCATGTGCATGTGCATGTGCATGTACATGTGCAAGTGCATGTGCAAGTGCATGTGCAAGTGCAAGTGCATGTGCATGTGCAAGTGCATGTGCATGTGCATGTGCATGTGCATGTACATGTGCAAGTGCATGTGCATGTGCATGTACATGGGCATGTGCATGGGCATGGGCATGGGCATGTGCATGGACATGTGCATGTGCATGTGCATCGGCATGTGCATGTGCATGGGCATGTGCATGTGCATGTGCATGGGCATGTGCATCTGCATGTGCATGTCCATGTGCATGTACATGGGCATGTACACGGGCATGGGCATGGGCATGGGCATGTGCATGGGCATGGCATGGGCATGTGCATGGGCATGTGCATGTGCATGTGCATGGGCATGTGCATGTGCATGTGCAAGTGCATGTGTATGTGCATGTGCATGTGCATGTACATGGGCATGTGCATGGGCATGGGCATGGGCATGTGCATGGGCATGTGCATGTGCATGTGCATGTGCATGTGCATGGGCATGTGCATGGGCATGTGCATGTGCATGTGCATGTGCATGTGCATGTGCATGGGCATGTGCATGTGCATGTGCATGGGCATGTGCATGTGCATGTGCATGTGCATGTGCATGGGCATGTGCATGTGCATGTGCATGTGCATGGGCATGTGCATGTGCATGTGCATGTGCATGTGCATGTGCATGTGCATGGGCATGTGCATGTGCATGTGCATGTGCATGTGCATGTGCATGGGCATGTGCATGTGCATGTGCATGTGCATGTGCATGGGCATGTGCATGTGCATGTGCATGTGCAAGTGCATGTGCATGGGCATGTGCATGGGCATGGGCATGGGCATGTGCATGGACATGTGCATGTGCATGTGCATCGGCATGTGCATGTGCATGGGCATGTGCATGTGCATGTGCATGGGCATGTGCATCTGCATGTGCATGTGCATGTGCATGTACATGGGCATGTACACGGGCATGGGCATGGGCATGGGCATGTGCATGGGCATGGCATGGGCATGTGCATGGGCATGTGCATGTGCATGTGCATGGGCATGTGCATGTGCATGTGCAAGTGCATGTGTATGTGCATGTGCATGTGCATGTACATGGGCATGTGCATGGGCATGGGCATGGGCATGTGCATGGGCATGGGCATGTGCATGTGCATGTGCATGTGCATGGGCATGTGCATGTGCATGTGCATGTGCATGTGCATGTGCATGGGCATGTGCATGTGCATGTGCATGGGCATGTGCATGTGCATGTGCATGTGCATGGGCATGTGCATGTGCGTGTGCATGTGCATGTGCATGTGCATGGGCATGTGCATGGGCATGTGCATGTGCATGTGCATGGGCATGTGCATGTGCATGTGCAAGTGCATGTGTATGTGCATGTGCATGTGCATGTGCATGTACATGGGCATGTGCATGGGCATGGGCATGGGCATGTGCATGGGCATGGGCATGTGCATGTGCATGTGCATGTGCATGTGCATGTGCATGGGCATGTGCATGTGCATGTGCATGTGCATGTGCATGTGCATGGGCATGTGCATGTGCATGTGCATGTGCATGGGCATGTGCATGTGCATGTGCATGTGCATGTGCATGTGCATGGGCATGTGCATGTGCATGTGCATGTGCATGTGCATGGGCATGTGCATGTGCATGTGCATGTGCATGTGCATGGGCATGTGCATGTGCATGTGCAAGTGCATGTGTATGTGCATGTGCATGTGCATGTACATGGGCATGTGCATGGGCATGGGCATGGGCATGTGCATGGGCATGGGCATGTGCATGTGCATGTGCATGTGCATGGGCATGTGCATGTGCATGTGCATGTGCATGTGCATGTGCATGTGCATGGGCATGTGCATGTGCATGTGCATGTACATGTGCAAGTGCATGTGCATCGGCATGTGCATGTGCATGGGCATGTGCATGTGCATGGGCATGTGCATGGGCATGTGCATGTGCATGGGCATGTGCATGTGCATGTGCATGCACGTGGCTCACCTGCAAGCCCATGTTAACAAGCATGACCACGATCCGAGGCAGCCCCTGCACCTGCAGCGAGTCAGCCACTAACGAGGACAGGGACGCGGCCATGGGCAGGTTTAGGCGGTACGACACCCAGTCGCAGCGGCGCGCCTCTGCTAGGAGCGAGTGGATGGTGCGTGGCATGCTGCCCGCCACCTGGTGGGTCGAGTCGAGGGTGGTGTAGTGGGGAAACGGAGGGAAGTGTGGTGATGGCATGGTGCTCAGGGACTGAGTTGATGGTGCGACTATTGAGATGTCTCAAAAATCGGGGGGAGGGGGAGATGTATGGAGAGAGTTGACGGTAGGCATGCTGCGTGCCACTTGGTGGGTCGGAAGGTGTGGAGGAGGGCAGAGGGGGAGGGGAAGTGGGAGGGGGGGGGCGGAGGCGGAGGGGGAGTGGGAGGGGTTTGGGGAAGTAAGCTAGGTGGGTTTTTACGGAGTGAATGGATGGTGCAAGGCATGCACCTTTTCAACAGTCAGCCGGCACACTGCGAGAGGAGTTCTTTATCGACTAAAAAAAGAAAAAGAAAAAGAAAAAAGCACAATGGCAGTCGATGAAGAACTCCTCTCGCAGTGTGCCGGCCGGCTCTTCTGGCAGGCACACATCGAAAGGAGCACCTTTATAGAGGGCAATTGACACATGACTTTTGAGCCGACTCAAAAGTCACCTCATTACACAGGGCTAACGACGCATTGAGGAAAGTGTGTGGGGGACGATGGAAAGTGGTGTGGAGTGAGTGGGGAGAGAGAAGGTGCAGGGGTGTTGAAGGAGTGAGAGAGGAGGGGGCATGAGGGAGGGAAGGGGCGGGAGGGAGAGGAAAGAAAAGGTTGAGGGAAAGGGAGAGGAAAAGGGAGTGGGCGAGAGTGAGGAAGAAGGAACGGGAGATGTCACCTGTGCAGCAATGGAGGGTGGGAGGCCCTCAGACGTCAGGTGCAAGGAGAAGAGGTCCCGAACCAGAGTGGCGGTGCAGGTGGTGGTGGGACTGGTGGGGGGCGGTGCAGTGTGGTGGGATGGGGTGTCACGGTTCTAGAAAGGGAGGGAGGAATGGGGAAGGGGAGGGGGTGGGGAATGAATGGGCGAGGAATAGGTGGGTAAGGAGATGCGAGGAGGTGCAGGTGCGGTGCGGGTGCAGGTGCGGGTGCAGGTGCGGGTGCAAGGCCAACATGCACTAGAGAGAGCCAAGCACCGGTCTAGCTCCCACACACTGTTCAGTGCATCTGCATCGTGCAATGGCCATCTGGATTCTGAACCCCCTTCTCTCCTCTCCTCTCCTCTCCTCTCCTCTCCTCTCCTCTCCTCTCCTCTCCTCGCCTTGCCTTGACTTGCCTTGAATGCAATCCCTGATTGGTTCCTTGTCTGCTCGTCATAGCATCTTCTACCTCCCCCCCTCTTCTCTGTCCAGCACTCTCTTCTTTACATACCCACTGGACTGGACCCACTTCACCCACTTCACTCACCTCTTTCTCACACTCTGAATTTTGCTCCCCTTTTCCTTCTATTTCGTCCTGTTCCTCCTCCTCTTCTTCCCAAATCTCTCCCTCATTCCCCTCCTCCTCTTCCTCCCAAAACTCCTCTTCTTTCTCCTCCTCCCACCCCTCCTCCTCCTTTCTTGCTTCCTTTATCACCTCAACCCTTGCAAGCTCTGCCCAGATACCAACCGCCCTCTCCTCCCTTCCCTCCTCCCTTCCCTCCTCCCTTTCCTCCTCCCTTTCCTCCTCCGTTCCCTCCCTCTCTTCCTCTACCTTCCCCAAGCCTATCCGCCTTCCTTCCCCCCCAGCTTCTTGTGACTCCCTTTGCATCTTCCCCGTCTCCATTCTCTTCTCATTCCCCTCCGCCCGTCCTCCCCTACTCTCCCCCCGTACCCTCGCCATTCCTTCTTTCACCTCCTTCCCCTCCCCGTCCCGGCCCCTCTCCCCTTCCCCGTCCCTCTCCCTCTGCCCCTCCCCCTTCCCCGCCCCCTCCGCCCCCCCCACCACGTCTCCCCGCCTCCGCCTCCCCCTGCGCCGCCTCTGGGGCGCCTCAAGAGCAGCCTCCGCGCCTGCGCGCATTGTGACTGCGCCCACCACTGCTTCCGCCACCCCCTCCGCCTCCACCTCTACCACCAGGTCTCTCCGCCTCTGCCTCCGCCTGCGCCTCCGCATCTCCTCCTCCCGCCCCGCCTCCCGCGCCAGTCGCCCCCCCGCCATGACACCCCCCACCACCGCCTCCGCAGCAATCGCGGCAGCGGCGGATGGGCTGGCGGGAGGGGTGGCGGAAGATGTAGCTGAAGGTGTCGCGGAAGGGGTTGCGGAAGGGGTGGCGGAAGGGTTGGCGGAAGGGGTGGCGGAATGCCCCGCGTCATTCACACCAGTAGGGAAGGATCCAGCGGACGGTCGCGCGCCCTTCCGCGGCTGCGGCGCATCGGCGCGCGAGTGGGCCTCCTCCGCAAGGCGAGCCGCGCGCAGCCGGCGGACGCGCGGACCGCGTGCTGCTGCGGACCCGCCCTGCGGAAGCAAGCGGCAGTGGAGAGCATCCACGGCCGCGCCAGCCGGCCCCGTCAGCCGCCTCCCCCCCCGCGCCGCACGAACGGTGCGGACAGTGCGGGAAGGGACCGGCGGGGAGAGGGAAATTGGCGCAAGCGGCCGGGAGATGGGGCGGAAGAGCGCGGGCCTGGGTATCGAGCGCGCGCGGGAGACTGAAGTTGAAATCGTTTGCGACGACGCCATACCGCATTGCGCGCCGGCGCAGGTTGCGGAATTGGCTACGAGGCGCCTCGCAGGTAGTAGCGTTTTAGAAATAGAGGTAGCACTAGCGGCGCTCGCTGTAAAACGGAGAGTTGCGAACTAGGAGAATGCGAATTCGAGAAGTCCGAATTGGGGAAGGTTCGAGCTAGATAGGTGCGAATCGGTGAGAAGCGAACAGGGGAAGTGCTAGCCGCGCCGCAGTGACCCAAAGCTGGTACACTCCCCTCGAGTCTATAGCCTAAACGTCCGGAGGTGGTGGGAGTATGCAAGGCGAGCAGTCACGGCACGGGAGACGCTTGCACAGCTCTGAGCGGGAAACGGGGTCGTGCAGGGACGGTGTAAGTGTGAGATACAATGCAGGCTTGCGCCAACATGCGCCACCTTGCGAATGTATGCGCTCGCCTGAAAGCGAGAGTGCAGGATGGCTGGTTTTCAACGCTCCTGCTAGACATGTGCGCGCGCCGCGTCTCAAACCGAGCCCATTCCACTGTCCACATGCAGGTCTGCGCCGCCACCAGCCTCGCTTGGGCAAATTGACACTCTCTCCTCCGCTCTGCTCCTCTGCCATTCCGCCGCCTGGAACATGTGCACTGCAAAGCGGAATTCGTGTGGGCGTCTCGGTCTCCCTGCCTGCTGCTAAAAGCGGAGCTCTAGCAGGGACACAGGCAAATTGGTTGGTTTCCGTTCCGAGTGAGACTGTAATATCCTTCCAGCTTATAATAAAATATATTGAATTGTAGCTAACACATAACTTGGGAGCATTATTGGCTTCCACACAAAACAGGTAGGCTGGTGTCGGTATAATACACGGTGACCGCAATCTGAGCGGTCCTGGTAAAAATCTATCTATATCCTACAACCTCAAATCTAGGTCCACTTCATCTCCTTTTGGAGGCCCTTGCGTGCTATGCTGTGCACCCGGAATTGGATGATGAGGAGGATACCCTACACATGTACCCTCCATATGCATGTGAGCAGATAACATGCCGTGGCCCTTTGCGGATCGTGCTTCATATGTACCTTCCCCTGCTTCGGCAGCAGCAGCAGCAGGAGAAACAGCAGCAGGAGGAGCAGCAGGAGCAGCATCATTTAGATCAAATGTTACACCGCTGCACAACCCCTGTTGCTTCCCAGAGCCACCCTCCACAAAGCTGCTTCTCTTAATCGCAGCGCCAACCCCCTCCCCCACCCTCTTCTCCTTCCCTCCTGCCTTCCCCTCGTGCACCTGTAAAGCTGCCAGCCCAGCACCTAGCACCTCGTTAGCAGCACCTTCACCACTAGCACGAGCGCGCACGTTCCTGTCACTGTACCCTGCACCAGCCCCGCCAACACACCCCTCCGCAATCCGCTCTCCATTGCTCACAGCCTCCTCAAACACCTCGCTATAAGTAGACGCGAGAGGCTGCTGGAAATACCTACTGGATCGCCTCAGCGTCCACCCCCGGGCCGGAAGTATCCCCATTGCCCCCACGCCCGCGGCCACGCCCGCGCCCCCGCCTGCACCTGCGCCTGCGGTTTCCTCACTCCCCACTCCGCCGCTGTATACCCCTCCCCCCCGCCCGTGGCGCGCGTTCTCATGGTAACCGAGCGCGTGCAGCGAGGGGAACTTGAGGAAGCACGTGGGGCAAGCATACGGCCCGCCTACAGTACAGGACCCGAGATTCGCGGCGGTGGCGACGGTGGGGCTCAGCAGGCGCAGCATGTCTCCCGCGCTCATCCGCGGACGGGATACGGTGGAGCGGGGGCTTGGGGTGGAGGAGGCGGAGGCGGAGAAGCTAGAGCGGCGGAGCCGGCGGAATTCCGCCGGTCGGCCGGCTCCCCCGGCGGCGGAATCGTTCCGCGGAGTGCCAGAGGGGGAAGGGGTCGGGGAGGAGAGCATTGAGGACACTCGCGCTAGCTGCGCAATCGGGGATGGATGCGCTGTCGTCGCCGCTGCAGCTGAGGGGGAGGGGAAAGCATCGCTCGCACCCGGGATGGCGAGTGGCGGAACAGCGGACAGGTCGATGGTGGGAGCGCGGTGCATAGTAATGGTCCCGGGGGAGACGGGAATTTGCGGCGTTCTTTCCACCGCAGTGACACTGCGATGCAATGCTCTAGTAGCATTAACAGGACTATTGCTATTCGCCCTCGTCGTGGCTGCTCTACGAATCGCGGTGATGCCGCCGCAGCTGCCAGCGCCGCCGCTGAGGCAGGTGACGGCGTTCAGACCACTGCCAGCGGGTGATGCGGAGGCGCGTGGGACAGGATCGAGGCCGCGACGCCTAATTGGGCTCTCTGACTTGCCGAGCTGCTGCTGACTCAGATGATGCTGCATTAGATGCTGCTGTTGATGCTGATAAGCCGAGGCGCGGGCACCGGGAATGAAACGGGTTTCCACCGCGGACTCGACGAATTGTAGCGGCAGAGACTCCGCACGGCTCAGGAGAAGCGGCTCTCGTAGGGCAGCGACGTCGCGCTTTCGCTTGTTCTGCACGGCGACGCGATTTGGCTCGTCGCGCTGGGCGTCGCCGCCGCGGTGAGGAGCGACTTCGCTCTGGTGGTGAACGGGGGAGTCGTCGCCAATTTTCCCGCACTCTCCTGTGTCGCCACTGTAACGAAAGCGAGGGCTAGGTGAGCCTTTCTCGAAACTGGAAGTGTCAATCAAGCCTCTCTCAGCCATGTTCTCAATAATGCCGTAGAAGAGGGAAAGGCGCGAAGGGACGCAAAGAGGCGAGGCCATGTTACGAGCAAGCCACCTGCATGGACTCGATCGTTGCAAGGTTGGAGCTTGGGCTTCGAGGCACTCGGCGGTTGTCGAGCTCGATAGGGTGAGGTTGCGTATGTGGAGTGTGAGCGAGAGGTGTCGAATGGAGGTGTGGAATGAAGCTCTCGAATCTGGCAAACCAATTTATGCTGGGAGTTGCAACATGGGCAAGGCCGAAGCATACGTGTGTTGCAGAGGGGCTTTTACAGAAATGTACTGAATCTGTATTATAGTTTTTCTTGTCGTTTGGTATGTCGGTATTATTGCTGGTTTGGAATCTCGAACGTTTTTTTCCGGACTTCAATTTTACCAACAACTCATTCCCTGTCCCAGACAAGACGCATATTTGTAGAGGCTATATGGCTAGCTGCTGAAAAATCCTCATTATCTAGCAGGCGTGAGATAACTATTTCGCTTAAGAATAGCTAGCCAGTGCCAGTATGTATTTTGATAATTCTTTCCTTTGTTTGATAGACGTTGGTCTCTACATGGAATTATTCGTGTAAGCCTGTATTTGTCATCTGAAACTACAAACAGTCCAGTTGACAGTCAACATCATGCGGAACAATAGCTCGAACAACCCAAGGAAATGGGTCACATGTTTGGGTCTGTTGTGTCAAAGCCCCTTTGAAAACAATGCGACGCGTTTTGTCAAGGTCATTTCAGCCCTATGATTGGCGAGAGCTAGCTTTCGGGAGAGAAAATCCATCCATTGAGAACCCAGAAGCTAGTCTAACCAATCATAGGCAAGGAAAAGCTCAAGCGCGACGCACCGCTCGATCCTTTGACTCGGCCTCGCCCGCCAGAATATTTGAGCTGTAACGGCGATCAGCCAAAAGCTCCTTCCTCAATGTGGACAAAAAATTCACAATGAGTGGTTAATGGAGCGTGTGGGAAGGCAGAAATGTTCCTGAACGTGCACGACTTTCAAGGTAGCCCTCTCCCCCGGAACAGTGTTTGGCGGTATGGAGAATCAGTCTCACATCTACGGGTTTTTTTATATAGTCAATTGTGAGATTATCGCCTGCTGGATTACTGCAATCTGAAGATCAATGAAGCTACAAATGCTTTTGAATAATATTACACAAGTGTGCAGATTTTTGTTCCAGGGTAAGTCTCGACAAATAGATGAAATCATCTTTGGAAAAGGACAAAACGCAACCGCACAACCGTTCCCCACCCAGATTTGTCGGGGCCCACCCAGATTAACTAACCAGCTGCAACATTATCGACCGCCGTTACGACAATCCACGACGTGGCCTGGATGAACCGCGTCACGCCTCAGCAGTAGACCGAACGTGTAACGACTTGCAACAAAGATCCCCCCTGCGACGGTAACGGGAATGGTGCGTTTCTTTTGTTCAGTTCGAACGCCTTAGTTCTGTCGAACGCCTTTGTCCTGTCCCGTTGTGAGCTGTTTGAACATGTAAAAGCTCCAATAATACACAAAAGCCAAACAACAATGACAACTACACGAAGCATATGCAAACTCCACATACCTCACAATCTCAAAATCCTCCATAAACCACCTTGTCACATGCCACACTCCTGTCTTGTGATGCTGAACTGTGCCAGCTTTGCTGCTTAGCACCAACTCATTCTGTACGTGCCAAAGTTTTTTACATTCAGCACCTGCTCAACCACATGCCACGTTTCTACATTCAGCACTTGCTCAACCACATGCCACATTTCTACATTCAGCACTTGCTAACCAACTGCGCTGCTGCGTACACAATCCCTCCAATACCTAGTGGTTTACCACAAGTCTCCTACGCAGCATTGCAAAATACACAGCATGGTAGAGCCTTAATATTGCAAGTAATCACCAGATTCTAGCACCTATATGTGACTTAAGGAGGTGAGGGCAGCGCTAATGAGAAACACAGCAAAGAGCACCACCATGCATGTCAACTTCACATGAATGGACATGGGGTTTAGTGCTCGAATGGATGGCCCATGAATGCTGACCACGCCGCACAGGGGCAATTATCAACCAGCTAAAACGAGGATAGTTTGAAGTCAACCAAACCACACTCCTGTTACGGCAGCGGTGGTTGCAGCCATGTCACAGGCGGTGGTGGTGGCATGTCCGTGGCACATGCAGTGGGCTATAAGCCAAAGGTAGAAAGGCGGTGGCACTAAGTAGTGGACGAAGGTGTTCGGAAGAAAGTAGCAGCAGCAGCCTGGTTCTGAATAGATTGGGGTGTTGCAGTTGACTGGGACGCATGAAGGCGAGACCGGGACACAAACAGGCAGGGAGGGCAAAGATCAAGGAAGGGAGCTTGCGCATGCGCGGCAGGAGGGGCAGAGGCGGATAGGCGGGGGGGATGGAGAGGGGTGAAAGTGGGGAGCCTAATGAAGGTGGCACTAAATGGCGACACCAGGCAAATGGAGCTCCAATTTTCACTATCAGCAGCTGGTTAAGAAAGGGACTGTGGCAGACCTCAGCTGCAGCAATCTGAGCAGACTTTGTTTGCGTCTGTCGCATGGCGGCGTGGATGTGTGAGTGGGTGCGTGAATGAGTGAGCGAAGGATGAGAGCGAGGGAGAGAGCGAGAGGGTGAGTGGAGTCAGTCGTCGCCATCCGCGCCTTCTTGAGTGAGCGGCAGGAGCGACTTGACAACTGTGCCCATGGACGGCCGGAACTCCGCCTCGTACTGCACACACAGCGCTGCCAGAGCTGCGAACTGGGAGGGGGTGAGGGAGGGGAGGGGAATGACGGGAGGGCGAGGGAGAAAGAAGATGGTTGGAAGACTGCCAATCCGCCTCGTACTGCACACACAGCGCTGTCGCTGCTCGTCAACGGGCTGCGAACTGCACCAGAAGGGGTGGAGAGGAACGGAGGGAGGGGTGTTCAAGAGCTAATGATGGGGAAAAGTTGCAAATGGCAGGACCGACTTGACAACTGTGCCCATGGACGGCCGGAACTCCGCCTCGTACTGCACACACAGCGCTGCCAGAGTCGCGAGCTGCATGAGGGACAGCAAACTGCATCAGGAGAGAAGAGGGAGTTATAGGGAGAGAATCAATGACGGGAGGAAGGGCCAAGTGATGGCTGGAACTGTGTCTTGTGTCGCAGTGCTGGCGATGCTCTGGCAATGCACATAGCATTGTCAGCACTGCGATCTGCATAGGGGGGCGATGAAAGGAATCACAGTGAAGAATTGAGACATATAGTTGCAATCGGTTTGTGCGTGCATGTACGCGCGTGTGTGTGTGTGTGTGTGTGTGTGTGTGTGTGTGTGTGTGTGTGTGTGTGTGTGTGTGTGTGTGTGTGTGTGTGTGTGTGTGTGTGGGTGCATGCGTGTGCCCACGTGCGTCTGTGCGCCCACGTGCGTTTGTGCAAGGCGTCCACTTCCCCAAGTCTCCATGTCTCTTCCTATGCCCTCCCCCATGCCCTCCCACCCCTTTCTATGCCCTCCCATGCCCACGCCCTCCCACGCCCTCCCATGCCCCCCCACGCCCTACCACGCCCTACCACGCCCTACCACGCCCTACCACGCCTCTCTGTGCATGTGAGCGTGTGCCTTCATGCCCACCTTGACCACGGCCTTGGCAGGGAATGAGACTTCGAGCCTGGGGTCCACACAACAATGCTTAACTCTGTCCTCTGCTAGCCTCCCACACCCTCTCACCCCACACCCTCTCACCCCTCCCCTTTACCTTCCCACGCTCCCCTGTGCGTGCCACTGCCTGCATGCCTGTCTGCCTGTCTACCCACCTTGACCACGGCCTTAGCAGGGAATGCGCTTTTGAGCTTGGGGTCCACACAATGCTTCACTCTGTCCTCTGCTAGCCTCCCGTGTGTGGCCTGGTCCTCGTGCAGGGGAGGAGGCAAGAGAGGGGGGGTGCGAGAGGGATGCAAAGAGAGGGGGTGAGAGAGAAAGAGGGGAAGGGAGGGGAAAAAGGGAAGGGGGAGATTGAGGAAGCAGGCACTAGTGGTGGGAGACTGTAACTTGAGGGGGCCAAGGGAAGACCATGTGATGGGTGGTAGGCATGGGCCAAACAGCAGCATGGGGAGCGGGAGGACTATCAGGGAAGGATAGAGAGGGCACACACACACACACACACACACACACACACACACACACACACACACACACACACCCATACACACAAAAAGGGACGTGCTCGCTCACCCATTGCACGAGCGACTGCTGGCCCGAGGCATGTTCTGGTCCATGGGATTCCGTGTAATCCTTCCCCGCCTCCCTCTCCCCCCTCCCCCACCCACACACACGAGTGCGCGCAACACATGCACGGACTCACCCATTGAACGAGCGACTGCTGGCCGCGTGGCATGTTCTGGTCCACGGGCTTGCGCCCTGTGAGCAGCTCCAGCAGCACCACGCCAAAGCTGTACACATCGCTCTTCTGCGTCAGCTGCCCCACCGTCGCATACCTGCCATGGACAGTGAGAAGTGAGCAGGGTGAGAGGGCGAGGGAAGATGGGAAGAGACACAAGGAGTGGGCAGCTCTAGCAGCAGCACCACGCCAAAGCTGTACACATCGCTCTTCTGCGTCAGCTGCCCCACTATCGCATACCTGCCACAACGAGGTACCATGCCGCACCCGTGCCCGTGCCCGTGCCCGTGCCCGTGCCCGTGCCAGTGCCCGTGCCCATGTCCATGCCCATATTCATGCCCACACCAATGCACATGACATAACACGATGAGGTTAGCCACATTCCTGCTCCCTCATTCCCCATGACAATCACTCCCATCCCATCCCTCCCTCTCACCCCCGTCCCCAAACTCCTGCTTTCCACCAAACCCCTACCCCCTTCCCACACCTTCCCCGAGCCCCATCGCCCCTCTCATTCCTGCTCCCCACTCCACCCCATTCCCACCCTCTCTCCCCATCTCCCCCCCTTTCACTCACTCAGGTGCGTTGTACCCAAACGTGCCCAGCACGCGGGCGGAGTGCAGACGGGACGCCTGGTCCGGGGCCTCGTTCGCCACATTGAAATCCGCGATCTTGGAGGTGAAGTCATCAAACACCAGCACGTTGCTAGACTTCACACCCTTGTGCACCATGTTTGCCTCCTCGTGCAGATAGGCCAGTCCTGTCGCCGCTCCCAGAGCAATCTTCATGCGCTGCTGCCAGGAGAGCGTGATGGGCGCTTCGTCCGTCTTGATTGCTAGCTTCCGGCCTGCCAGGGGACGGGGGAGATGGGGAGACGGGGAGGTGGGGAGGGGGAAGGGGAGAGAGGTTGCAGGGAAGCGGGGAGAAAAGGGGAAGTCATGTGAGCATGATGGGTGCTTCGTCCGTCTTGATTGCTAGCTTTCGGCCTGCCAGGAGACGAGGGGGGAGAAGACGTGCGGAAGGGAAGGGAGGGGGTGCAGGGAAGGGGGTGGGGATGGGACAAGGGAACCGGGCACGAGCATTCGGGCAGATAAAGAGGCAGGAGGGGGAGGTAGAGGTGGGGGAGGGTGGTGCGGTGGTTAGGTGAGGGAAGGACATGGCGTTACGAGTGGGCCACAGAAAAACATGCTGCGTGGAAGCAACAGGAGCGGACGAAGAAAAGGGCCCACCAGCGGGAGCAAGGGAGAGGAGATGGCACATACAGAGCATGTAAGAGACCGGAGCAGAGCAGAGCAGCACAGAGCAGATCAGAGCAAAGCAGGGCGGAGCAAAGCATGGCAGAGAGCACAAAGCAGGGCAGGAAGCGCGAAGCAGGGCAGGGCAGGGAACGCACCGCGCAGGATGTCGTGCAGGCTGCCGTGCTCCGCGAGCTCGTACACGAGCACTCGCTGCGGGCCATCACAGCAGAAGGCAAGCAGTGCCAAAACAGAGCAGAGCGGTGCAGAGCAGAGGAACGCGGGGCAGGGCAGAGTGACGCACCGTGCAGGATGTCGTGCAGGCTGCCATGTTCCGCGAGCTCGTACACGAGCACTCGCTGCGGGCCGTCACAGCAGAAGGCCATGAGCTCCACCATGCCTGAGTGCCGCAGATTGCTCGCCACTGCCACCTGCACCACGCGTAGGCAGAAGACGGAGAGAGAGAGAGAGAGAGAGAGAGAGAGAGAGAGAGAGAGAGAGAGAGAGAGAGAGAGAGAGAGAGAGAGAGAGAGAGGGGGGGAGAGAGAGGGGGAGAGAGAGAGAGAGAGAGAGAGAGAGAGAGAGAGAGAGAGAGAGAGAGAGAGAGAGAGAGAGAGAGAGAGAGAGACTACTACTACCATTAGCCTCTCCCCTTCTACCCTCTGCCCTCTGCTTTCTGCCCTCTGCCATTACTACTTAAGGCCACAGCGGCCTCTCCATCTCTCATTCTTTCAGTTAGTGCTGAAAATTTTGGCGCTTCGGCCACGCGTTAGGGATGGCAAGGGGAAACAACAAGCAGTAGTAGCTTAGGCAACCGATACAAACAAAGCAAGCATAGACACTTAGCAAGTAGAGGATGGAACGGGTCTATATGCGCAAGGGGGGAGCGCCTACATGCGGTCCGCCTCTATCGCAGCGAGCATTCCGCTCGTATTCAACCACAACTGGCGGACCACAGACACGGTGGCGCCTACAACGTCAACAGGAGTACCAGGGCCTGCTACAAGCGTCCTCAGAGCCAGGGCCGAGTCAGCCAGCTGGCTGGCCGAGGTTGCTCCCAGCGAGGGCGCTACCTGCAGTGGCATTACGAGCGCGAATAGCGCTGACGCCGCCGCATGACAATCTGCTCGCGGTTTCTGAGAGAACCTGCTCGGAGGGCTCACCGGCATGGAGTCAAATGACTCTTGGAGAATCCGCTCAAGGCTCTGCAGGGACGCCGCCAGCGACCATAAGCGGGCCAGGGTCGCCGTTGGAACTTCCTTCATCGGCGGAAGTAACGCAGGCGCGCGGGCACGGTGAGACGACACGGCGAGATCACGCAGAGCAGGAAGAGGACGCGGCGGAGCAAACTGAGCCCGCGGCGGCCCGCCACCAGCACCTACGAAGCCCATCCCCGCAGGCAGCGGCCGCTCTGAACGCGTTGGGGATCCAAAGGGATTGTGGGGCACGAGCGCGGAGAGAGGGGCGACGGGAGCAGCGCGAGGAGCTGATGGTGACGCCGACCCCGCACACGAGCGACGAAGCTCCTTCTCCACGTCATCAAGCCTATCCAGAAGACGGCGCTCCATTGCGGACGGCGTGGACACGCTTTTCCGCCGCTGTCACCCCCCCGCCGCCCACGACGCGCACGCCCACTTGCGCTCGAGCGCGCAGGCCACTGCGGGCGAGATGGACCCTGCTGACGCTGGCGGCCCGGAAAACGGTCCCCGGGACGAGGGGATTAGAGCCGTTGGCGCTTTGCAGGAGGGGGCGAACGCGGAGCTGGGGGCCGACGCCCAGACGTCTGGCGGGCAGGCGACCGCTGGCGAGATGAACGATGAGGGGGCGAACAATGACAATGCGAACGGCGGTCACGGGATCGGCTTCGCGATGCCACGCGACGAGGCGAACGAGGCGACAGCGGCGAACGGGCCGCACCGTGACGATCATCGCGGCGGCTCTCCTGCTTATCGTCGAGAGCTGCCGATGAGCGACGGCAAGGCGAACGCTCCTGGTGCGCCACAGCCTCTGCGCCGGAGCGCAAGACGGACCCCGCGCGCGGGGGCTCTCGGGGTGACAAGGACCTGCCCGCGCGCGGATCCAACTCGCGACGCTGGTCCTCGAAGCGGCGGCGGATCTGATCAGCGGACGCCGTCGGAGCAACAGGCACGCTCGCGGCAGGGCGTGCAGGAGGAAGCGGACGGGGAGCAGGATCGCTCTCCACGGTGCAGTCGCGGCCAAGAGCGCCAAGGAAATCCATTGGCCAACGCTCAAGACGCTCCACTGGCACACGAGGAGCCGACAACGCCGATCTCCCAGGCGCAACAGGCGGAACCTGTGGCAGCTACCCCGCGGAGCGGACGAGGAAGCACGCGGGGGAGAGGCGGGCGACGAGGAGCGCGCGGAGGGCAGAGAAGCGCAGGCCAAGCGGGAAGGGGACCGCCTTGCCAGTTGCCGAGCCCAATCTGGTTGGGGGAGCCGGCGGAACGAGTCACGCGCCAGTCATTCGCCAGGCGGGGGGCGAGGGGAGGAACACCAGCGCAAGCGGGGAGTAACAGGGATATCAACACACAGGGGAGTGGAGAAGATTATTTACCGTCAGATCTGAGGCAACCAGACGATCCCGCCTCACCTCACGCGGAACAAGGAGAGGGGCAAGTGTAGCAACAGGAGAAAGGAACCGGCCGCAGACAGCATCGCAGGGCTCAGCTTCCCCCGGACCAGGCACTATCGGCATCCCAGCTAGCCTCGCGGGAGGATCTTTTCCAGATTGCAATGACTTGGGACCTTACACTCCTAACCTCCACCACCCACCTACCAATCGTCCGTCGACTGCCGCCGCAGATCCTCAGCGACTACTCCACCTGTATACTGGTTGCCCTGCCCTACTTCGGATCTCCAAGCTGCCTAACTACGCAGGAGCATGGCTGGTCCTCATGTTCCTGCCACGTCTCACGCTAAGACTTAGCCAGAGATCCAGCTCTAGATGGAAACTGTTGCGGGAACAGATGCATCTATTCCGATGTGGCCACTGGACCCAGCTGTATACTGACTACTTGGGGTCAATGCACTTGGCCGAACCACCTCAGCACCAACGTGACCCACTGGGAATCTGCTCACGTGCGGAGGGGTTGGTGAAACAGGGTAACCTGCGAAAGGCGTTAGCAGCCCTACAACCCTCGCCTTCAGCAACTGCGACAATTGCGACACTACAGCAGCTGGAATCGAAACACCCCCAACCCCAAAATGACCTGCCCTAGTGGGTGCATTCCTACACCACACCCACGCAATTCTCAACCACTCTGGAACGCTTTTCCGGCGTCTTTGGAGAATGCCCCAGGGGAATTGGGGCTGCCCATCGGGGTCAGCTTTCGAACACTACCGCGATCCAGCGCTAAGTAACATCGAGGTACTAGGGCACCTCCACTCCGCCGTTACGCATCTTCTCTCGACAAATCTTTCCACTGAAGTCGCAGCACTACTTGCCCCGTCCCGCCTTATAGCCTTCGCCAAACCAGGGGGGGGGGGTACGTCCCATTGCGATTGGAGAGTCATTGCTTAGGCTGGCGGCGAAGGTGACACTCTCAGATTTGCAAGGAGAAACGCGAATTTTTTTCCTACCTCGGCAATTTAGCGTGGCAGTCCCTGGAGGTGCAGAATTTGTCATCCATGCTGTCCGAGACCTCACCACGGTGTAACCCTCCAGCCTAGTTCTCCAGCTTGACATTGAAAACGCGTTCAACTCAATAGAGAGGAGCGCGTTCTTCAACGCACTCATCGACTCCCCACTAGCTCCCCTAATCCCCTTCACACGCTCTTTCTACGCAGCATCTTCACCACTGCTTCTGGACCCATGCTTCAATTCTACGGCACTCACCAACGGAAGGGGAGTCAGACAGGGGGATCCCCTCAGACCTCTGTTATTCGCAACGTCTATCCAGCAGCACCTCAGGCACGTAGCAACGGAGCACCCCGAAGTCACGGTCCTCGATTACGCGAACGACATAACCATGATTGGACCCGCGGCGGCGACGCTGGAAGCGCTCAGGGAGCTCACGCCGCTGCTGGCACGGGACGGTCTCACCTGCAACTTTAGGACGTCGTCGGCGTGGTCCACCGTGCCGCTAGGAGGGGACATACTCCCCGAGGGCCTTCCCCTCACCCGCGAGGGGGTGCGGGTGTTGGGAAGTCCAGTGGGGTCGCAGAGCTTCTGCTCTGATTTTGTCCGCAGCACCCTGACAGACGCGGCAGCCCCCTTGGGCTCTCTGGCGTCCATCCACCCACAACACGCCCTCCTGCTACTGTCTTGTTGCATCAGCCGCAGAGTCGGCTACTTGCTGCGCACTACCCCAACTGACGTCTAACCGCTCTCGGAATGGCACACATGGTGCGCCGAATTACTGAACACTGCCTTGACCGCCGCCAGCATTCAACCGCCACGCCGACAAGCCGAGTTCAACTTCCTTCTCCGACAGGCAACTCTCCCAGTAGCCCTAGGCGGACTGGGCCTTACAGACCCCACAACTGAAGCAACACCGGCCTACCTGGCATCTACAACAGAGGCGCTGCGCCTGCTCCGCTCCCTGGACTTACCGGCAACCGCGCCACTAGGGGCCGACAGCAACGCCCTGCAGCCATCTGCAGCGCACTCCGTGACCATCCAGGACATGGAGGGGCGACTGCCACCGCTGGCGCTACAAAACCTACGGGAGGAGCAGCAAACCCCGTCCCAGGACCAACTGCAGCGCGCCCTCTCCCAGGAAGTGCACGCGGCAAAGGCCGACGCCCTAAGAGAGGAGTCACGCGCAATACAGTCACCCCCCGAGATGGGCCACACACTCCGCCTAGTCAGCCTGAGAGGAGAGGGAGCGGGAGCGTGGCTGCAGGCACTACCCTTGACCCCGGACCTCTGCTTCTCACCGGGACAGTTCCGAGCGGCCCTGGCCTTCCGCATGGGCATCCGACAGAATGTACCAACTGTGTGCGAGTGCGGAGAACTCGTAGCCGACTGCAGCCTACCCAACCACTTACTCCGCTGCAGCACAAGCCCCGACAGGACGCGCACACACAACCAGCTGGCCTTCGCCATGGCTAAAATGGCGAGGGAGGCGCAGCTGGTGGTATACCTGGAGAATGCGATGTACTCACCTCCGAATGACCCGAAGAAGGCAGATGTGATTGTACAAGACCCGGACAGCGGAGAGACCTGGATCACAGACACCACTATCACTGACCCTGTGCTGCAGAACCGAGACCCCACGGCCCGCAAGCCCCCAGGTTGGGCTGCAAGGGAGGCACAGAAGCGGAAGGAGAGGGACTACTACCGACACACTGAACACGTGGTGTTCTGCGCCCTGGCCGTCGAGACCTATGGGGCAAACGCGCCCCCCATGACGGCGTTCCTGAAACTGCTGGCCACAGCAGCAGCTAGGAACCGCTTCAGGGCCAGCCCCTTGGCGAAATCCGCCAAGAAGATAGCCTGCCACTTCAGCCAGCGTTGGTCAGTGGCCCTCCAGCGCTCCCAGGCGAACGCCCTGCACACCAAGGCCAGGGCTGGGATTGAGGCAGCACACCCCCAGATGGCAGCGGACCCCTGGCCGCTGCACCTGGGGGACATCCTCCACACGCTGGAGGGCTAGAGGGTCACTCAGGGGGGAGGGGAGGGGAAGAGGGGTGAGTTGATGGGCTTATGGGATTGAGGTTATCATGGATAGAATTGCATGTCTGTACCCCTGCTGAACTAATACAACGGACCATTTGAGAGAGAGAGAGAGAGAGAGAGAGAGAGAGAGAGAGAGAGAGAGAGAGAGAGAGAGAGAGAGAGAGAGAGAGAGAGAGAGAGAGGAGAGGGGCGCGAGGCAGGACAAGAACCTTTGAGTTGACTTGAAGGTCGTGCGTGAGCTCCACCATGGCCGAGTGCCACTTACTTGCACTTTTCCATCTGTATAGATTCACCCCATAGCACACCCTTCCCTCCTTCACTCCTTACTCATCATCTCCGAATAACATTGGCATGTTACTCTAATTTTCAGTTGTTCTAGCACTCACTCACTCCCTCCCCGACTGTGATCTCATCTCGCACTCCTGACTTGTGTAACGCCTCCGAAGTTACATCGCACTCCTCACTCACTCTCCGTGCATACTCTGCCTGCTCACGCTACCCACTCTCCATTCAATCGGGGAAACCCTATCTGTATCACGCTAGTGCCCGCACCCATGCCATTCTTTCCCCAGTACGCTTCTTCTCCCTTGGCCGCCTCACTCTACTAACCCAACTCTTTTCTCTCCATTCTGTAACGTCCACTTTTCATACCACCTCACAGCCAATCAGACTTAGAGGCGCCCTCAAGGACCAATCAGACCATTTACCTCTTCACTGTTCCTTTCTTCCAAAAACGCCTCACTCTTTCAAGCCTCTCTCTTTCACACCACTTTCTTCCCAGAGACGCATCTCTGTCCCTCCTCCCTCCAACCCCCACCTCTTTACCTGCCAACACCGCATTCAACTCCTATTCCTGGACTGACTTCCACAACACTTCCGACCCAAACGGCTTTCCCCCATCCCCTTGCCCCATCCCCTTGCCTCCCTTCGATTTCCCCATTTCCTTCCCCCATCCCCTTCATCCCATCTGCCTTCCCCGTCACGCCTCCCCTGATCCCCTTTTCCTCATCACCTCCCCCCCTTCCCCTTTGATCTTTCCCCCTTCCATCTCATCTCATCTTATCTCATCTCAGTTCATCCCTTTCCACCTCCCCCTAGAGTCTCTTCCTCCCTCATTTCAATCTCCATCCATACCTTCCTCCTCTTCCCCCATCTCTTTCCCTTTTCTCCACTCATTCCCCCCTTCAACCCCCGCCGCTTACCCCGTCTAGGATCTCCTACTCGGGCTGCGTGAAATGAGACGCGTTTTAAGGCGCCTGAAAACTCGACTTCCCCTCTCCCCTCCCCTCCCTTTTCCTCCCCCCCTTATCTCTCACCCGCACCTCATTTAGGAACTCGGTTTCAGGCTGAAAGTTCGCGTGGTAATAGCCGGAGGTAATTTTGGGCCGACTAAAGAACAAAAATATATCAACTCACCCCGTCTAGGAACTCGTCCTCTGGCTGCGACCCCGCGTCGAGCTTCTTAATCGCCACGGCGCGCCCGTTAAGGTCGCCGCGGTACACGCGACCGAAGGAGCCCTCGCCCAGCATGCTCGAAGGGTTGAAGTTGTTGGTCATCGCCTTGAAGTCCGCGATCGTCATCCGCGGAACAGACACCTCCGAGTTCCGCGCGCCGCCGGCCGAGGGTTTCGGCGCAGTGGCTGCACGCGGAGGGGAAGCCCGGGGGAGGGGGAAAGAGGCGGGGAAGATGTGGGGGGAAGAGGGGGAGGATGGAGTCAAGAAAGGAAGGAGGGAGATGAGAATAAGGGTAAGGAAGAATGCGGGAGCAGCGTCCGTTAGGCTCGCTGCGGTACACGCGGCCGAAGGAGCCCTCGGCCAGCATGCTAGACGGGTTAAAGTTGTTGGTCATCGCCTTAAATCCGCGATCGTCATCCGCGGAACCGACACCTACGAGTTCCGCGCGCCGCCGCCCGAGGGCTTCGGCGCCGTGGCTGCGCACGGAGGGGAAGCCCAGGGGAAGGGGGGGGAAGGGGGAAGCGCAGGCGGGATGTAGGGAGGAGGGGAGAAGGGGGAAGCGCGGGGGGATGTGGGCAAGGGGGAGGAGGGGAGGATGGAGGGAAAGAAGGAAGGAAAAGGAAGGGGGATGGGGAGAGCCGGTGAAGGAGGGAGAAGGGGGGAGGGGAGGTGCGGCAGGTAAGCGAAGGAAACCGGAGGGTGGTTGGGGAGGAGGGCGCATGTAAGGTGAGGGTAAGATGAGGGGGTAAGGTTAACCAGGGCTCGGGAAGAAACAAAAACGAGGGGAAGCGGAGGAGAAGAGGAGAAGAGGGAAGGGAAGCAAGGCATGACGTGCACGTGGTAGTGCAATTGGGGAAACTAGGAGGAGAAGCGGAGGAGAAGAGCGAAGGGAGCTAGGTCCGCTGATAACGGAAGGCAGCGGCGGGGGAATAAGCAGTGCAGCGACGAAAGCACGCGGAAACGGTACGGAAGGAGATAAAAAACGGTGGCGTGAGGCAACCAAAGCTGAACCACGAGTGCCGCAGCGCGGAATGCGTCGACTGGACGGCACGCCAAAGCGAGAGAGTCCGAGCCTAATGTGGCGACGAGTCAGAAACAGAAAAAAATTGGAAGGTGGCAGAGCCTAACGTGGCGGGCACTGTGGACGCAGCGTGGTGGCGAGTCGGAACATGTAGAGAGCCGACAGAGCTTGACGTAGCGAAAAGCGGTGACCTTTGAGTTGACTTTAAGAGGCACCTCGTTACAACGCCGCACGAATGCTGTGCTACGGAATGCGGTTGGGGGAAGGCAGAGTTAGAGAGGCAGAAAGAGCTGGACCCAGGGGACGTGGCGGGCGAGGCGGACGCGGCGGATGGGGAAGGAGAAGAGGGTGCAACAAGGACGAGGTGAAGGGAAGAGATCGAGAAGAGGATGAGGACGAGGAAGACGGAGTTAAGACTGGAAAGTAAAAGGGATAGACGCGGATTATAAGATCTTTAAAGCTACTCCAAAATAGTCGGGCGCGCATGACGATTTTAGGAAATAGGTGACATTGCATCGCCTTTAATATAAGGAACGGAGGCGGGACCACGGCACGGTGTGGGATCCATTCACTCTGCGACAACCGTGACGCTTTTAAGAAGGCCGCCGACTTTGTCACAACCCTAGAACTCGTGTTGTGATAGCAATGCTGCTCTGATGTATGATTACCTTGATACTCATTTCAACATGTGATGAACTTTGGTGCTCATTATAGACTCGAAACACCTTGCAACTTCTGACTTCGATTCACATTAAACACTCATAACTAGCTGAAAACAAGGGTTGAATGAGCCAATGAACGAGGCAGTAACTTACCCGGAACTCCAAACCAGGCCAAGATCCAATTTCCAACGGTCGAAAGGCTTGTCGGCCACGAGCAAAGGTACGAAAGAACGAGAACGAACGAAACACGGCGAAAGAAGGAAGGGATATAGTGTGAGCGCGACGCACCTTTTGCAGCCGCAGTGACATCGTATGGATCGCTGATCGCCTTGCTGGAGAAGCAGCCCATGGCGCCTTCAGTTCAGGCCTCCACCCCGCGGAAAGAAAGAGCCAATGAGCCGCGACAGTAACGTGGCAACGCTTGCTCGGCGTTGGCTGCGCTGCGCTGCGCGAGCGAATCAAGGTGTGCTTCGCGTGATGCTTGCTTGCGGGGGTCACCGAGGCCACGGGCGACGCTACAACGCGGGTACCACGAAGTGACAGCGGGAACTACTGACGGGAGGGTGAATCATGAGATCAGGATTATTCCTTTACTCTGCCGCATGGTTAACTAACTCTGCGGTGGGATAAAACGATTAACGAATTTGGTCCTACAAAACCGACAGTCCGGATACGCCAGATTAACGAGTCGAGACTTAATAGTTTACCCTCACTAGGCGAGACAAGGAACAAATCAGGCAGACTCAGGCGACGACGCCATGATCCTCCTGCTTGCACGGAAAGCCGTTGACCAAGCTAACGTCAGTCACTAAGCAACAAACAAACCTGACTTTCTCCTGACTGGCAGTCCCAAAACCTAGAAAGTATCTAGATAAAAGAATAGAGTTGCTAACAAGTCCCTAGGTGCAGCATTGCAAGTTTGGGAATGGTGTGTGTTATTTCAAATCGTCAGCGCACTGCATCGTACCATGACTTTCTAGAAACTACTGAACCGTGTTAAACCACTCAGTGTCTCGCGAACCTTGTTGAGCACTCCCAAGGTCCACCACCATCACACACCCTTCCAGAGGACCCACTTTTCTGGAACCACCGACAAGCAGGAGGAAAGAGATCAAGGACTAAGAAGTTTTGAGAGCGGTTGAAACTGGCACAATAAGGTTCGCTTCGGAGTGAGAAACACGTCGGATGTGCAAGAATGACCACCGAACCAGTAGTATCCGGCTCGGCCAGTAGTACTGTAGTACTGGCTTGGTAGAATGTCTCCGCAGGTCGGGCGGCTCGGAGATGTGCTCGCTGATCTGGTTCGTGCTTCAACTGGCCGCTGTTCTCCAACATCGTGTCTACGCCAATAGCGATACTTTCACATGCCAATTGTTCTTGGGTGAAATAAGTCCAACAAAAAAGAGTAACGGTATATCAACTCTGCTACTCCCAAATATATGTTGTTCACTGCTTTTGCTCAAGTGACTGCAGAGAAAATACCTACTATCTGTAGGAATCTGAGGATAGACTACTTCTAAAAGGACCCGCAGAAAGGTGGTACGGTAGATCTGCTCCAATTGCAGCCCTGCGTGAGGCTCTGTTCTATTCGGACTCTTTCCTAATGTCACTTCAAGTAGACCAAAACAAAGCCTCAGATCAGACCAGACACAAAATGCACGACGGGTGCAGCCATGGATAGCAATATCTCCACCTCTCTTCCACAACACTTAAGTCCAGCCTCACTCCACAACATCACTCACATAATTGTGCATTCTCCCATCACCTTCACATGCATTGATTCACATTCCCACCCACCCACGGTGGGGATGGGGGATGGGAGGGAGATGGGAGCGGAGTGGAGAATGGGGGCGGCGCATGGGGGCAGAGAATGGGGAGGGGGAATGGGGGCAGGGGATAGGGGTGGAGGGTGGGAAGGGGGGTGCAGGAAAAGGCTAGACCGAGGACGAGGCTTGTGGAGAGCAAAGAGCAAATTACCTGCAAATGAGACGTAAAGATAGCCCCCCCACGTTACTCTCAGTGGATTTTGTGCGGGGAGGATGGCAGGAGGAACGACAACAGCAGCAGTATGGCAGCACTGGATCGAATGCTCAACAATTGCCACTGACACAACAGCAGCAGGAGCAGGAGCAGGAGTAGCAGCAGCAACAGCAGCTACCCAGGTCAGAAACAGCAACGGATTCAGCATCATTTCCTTCCACCCAGTTATGGTACCACAATCTGCAACCAGGAACATTTTCAGCTACGAGAATCAGCATCCAGGGACATAAGTCAGCATCCAGCAACAGTTTCGGCTAGCAGGTTCAGCATCCATCCAGCTACCAGCAAGCAGCAACCCGCATCCAGCATCCAGCATCCAGCAATCAGCATCCAGCTACCAGCATCCAGCTACCAATTCCAGCAACAGCTACGGAGCCAAGGCGGTAGCCAAAAGGCAACCTGCCAGCACAGGGTGAGCAACCATGCCACCATGCACGTTTCGTACTGGTCTGGCGTGCCTGTCAGTACTGGTAACACGTAATGCTAGTGCCGGCAATGGTGCTAGTGCCGGCAATGGTGCTAAACGAACACTGCTTGCAGCTATTGTGTGCCCAAGTTAACATAAGCAAGAAGCTGAGATGCCACTAGCATCAGGAGGAGGGAAGGCAGAAAACAAGGCAAGGAAGGGGAGAGAAGGTGCGAAAGCAGCAACTGGCAAGGCGGACATGGATAAAAGGGGAGAGCAGTGAACGGAAGGAGATTGCCAGAATGAGAAAGGGAGAAGCAGAGGCAAGAGGGGAGCTGGCAGGGGAGGGAAGAGGCGCGGAAGGAGGGAGCATGGGCAGCTAAAAGGCTAGAAGGCTGGAATTCAAATCTACATCGTAGCCTGCAGAAGCATGTAAGGTCTTCCAGAGATTCCAATGTGATCCTGTGCTTCCTTCCTGCAGGAGAGGAGGGACGGAAACACACAGGGAAAACGCAGAAGAGGCCTTCAATGTGTGTGCATGCGAGCTGAGGAATAGGCAGCATTGAATGTTGAAACGGAGGGCGAGGGAGAGACGCTATTGCGCAGGACTTTACTTGCGCCAAGTGACTGTGAAAAAACAAGGGAGTGCTTCTGTCACTGACTGCACTGCTGCTACTACCATTCCTTTAGCTGTAAGGAGCCTGGGAAGTGCCGCACGGGCTGTAACAGTCCAGGCTTACAGGCTCACATACGGCGTGGTAGCAGAGAGAGAGGATTACAAGGAGCATGATGAAGCGGGAGTATGTGCAGGGAGAGGGCGTCTAGTCGTCAAGTCATGGCCCTCGTGATTGTGGTCAAACACACTGTCCTGCGCTGCTGCTGCGCTGTGAGTCACCTCAGAGTTCAAACCAAACGAATGTTTGCAGAGGCAGAAGCTTACAAGTGGCATGATGCAGAGACAGAGTGTGTGTGTGTGAAGAGGGCGTCTAGTCGTCGAGGCCCTCGTGTCAAACACACTGTCCTGCGCTGCTGCTGAGCTGTGAGGCACCTCAGACTAAACGACATGTTTGCAAAGATGGGAGCTTACAGGAGGCATGGTGCAGAGACGGAGTGCGTGAGGGAGAGTGCGTCTAGTCGTCGAGGCCCTCGTGATCGTGGTCAAACACACTGTCCTGCGCTGCTGCTGCCTCGTCCACATCCTCCTCCTCCCTGCTCACAATCATGCCCCGCATGCACATCATGCCCCGCATGCACAGCATGCCCCGCATGCCCCCATGCCCCTCATGCCGTCCATGCTCCCATGCCCACCACGCTCCCCCACAACAATAGCACAAAAGCGAGGAGAGCAAGAGTCAGTGGAAAAGGGCGGGAGAGAAAGAGAGAGAAAAGAGGTGTGTGGGGGGGGGGGGGGAAGAGGGCAGGGGTGGGGGGGAGGAGTAGAGAAGAGAGGGATTTACACCACAGATGCTACAGCAGCACTGTCTGCCAAAGCACGGGGTACAGCACCTAAAACTTGCACCCCTGCGAACATAGGCACACCACCACTAGGGAACGAACGCTCACCGCTTGACATAATCGTCATCGTCATCCTCTGCGCGGGCCTTCTTGGCTGGCCTGGTGGGGGGTGAAAGGCGCGATTCAGGAGGGCGGAAGCAAGATTCGGGAGAGCAGATGGAGGAAATCAGGCAGGAAAGTATTATGAAGGGGTTGAAGGCGGTATTTTAGTGGGTAGAAGGTGGTATTTAGGGGAGTAGAGTAGATAGTCAGAATCACATGGGTTTTGAGAGAAAAAGGGATCACGGGGTTGATAGCTCAGGGTTTGCAAGTGCTGCGTGAAATAACAAGTGATCGCAAGTGAATCGGGCGACTGACAGGCCAAAGCATGTGTAAGACACCCATGCACGCATGCGTGCACACCCAAAACCGACACCCACGCACACCCGCACACACCCACACCCACGCGCGTGCGCGCGCGGGTGGGTGTGAGGGGACGAGGGCAAGACGTGCGCGGGAGAAGGACGAGCCTCTCAGAGCAACGCTGAGAGGACAGCAAGGCTGTAGAATACTCATATTGAGAACGGAAACCAGAAGGATGGACGCATTTGCATTGCAACAAACCAGTGTTCCTCGGCCTGAACCTAACCTACCAGCGCCCCCACCCCCCCTCACCTGCCAGCACCACTCCTCACCTGCCGGCACCGCTCCTCCACATGCCAGCACCGTTCCTCACCTGTCAGCATCTGCACCAGGAGATCCATCCTCCCTTGCACTTCCATTCGTCTTGCCCTCTGCCTCCTCCCTCCCACCACTCTCTTGCTCCTTCTCCCCCTCCTTCTCCACGCCCTTCCCCTCCCCATCACCAGAGCCACCTCTTCCCTCCGATCCTTCCTTCTCCCTCCTCCTCTCCCTCTCCCTATCCTTCTCCCTCTCCTTCTCTTTCTCCTCTGCATCATCATCTTCATTATCAGAATCATCATCTCTCCTTCTGCGCCTGCCCCTCCGCCCCCCGTCATCCTCCTCCCTCTCTCTCTCCCTCTCCTTCTCCCTCTCATCCCTCTCCTTCTCCTTCTCCCTATCGCCGTCCCTGTCCCTACCCCGTTCCCTATCCCTATCCCTGCTCCTCTCCCTCTCCCTCTCCCTCTCCCTGCCCCCATCACGGTCCCGATCTCTCCCCCTCTCCCTCTCCCTTTCCCTCTCCCTCTCACCACCCCTATCCCTATCCCCCTCCCGACCCCGCTCCCTCTCCCGCTCATATTCATGCCCTCGATACTCCCCACCTCCCCGATACTCGCCCCGCCCCCTATAATCACCTCCACCCCCACGGTACCCCCCAACGTCGAATCCCCCCCCTCTATAGCCACTGCGGCGGTAGTCCCCTACCCCCCCACCACCGCCGCCACCGCGGTAATCCATGCCTCCCCCCCCGCCCCGGTAGTCCATAGGAGGGCCGCGGGTGTCGTGGTATGGGCGGGGCGGGTAGGGACGGTCATCGTATCTGGGGAGAGAAGGGCGAGGGGGATGGAAGGAGGAAGCCAATTCTCTAGTATTTTCAAAAGTAATATCACGATGCATGGGCATCATATTTTGGAGAAGAACGGAGAGAGGTACGGAGGGAGCAGGGGAGGAAGAAGGAGACGAAGGAAGGAAGAGAATGGCCCTTGAAGAGAAGTTCCGCGACCGACGAGGGGTATGGGCAGAGAGAGAGGGGAAGGGGGAGAAAATTTGCACGGTCAACGCACCGAACGGGGAAGGGATGGGGGATGGGAAATGTATGAAGATCCCAGATGCAAAGCTGATGCGAAAACGGAAAGAAAATAGAAGAAAAAAAAAGACGAAGAAGAAGAAGCACACACACACACACACACACACACACACACACACGCACGCACGCACGCACGCACGAACGCACGCACACACACACACACACACACACACACACACACACACACACGCACACGCAAAAGCGGAGGCATTCTTATTCTAGGCGGAACCCAGGCGGAGCTAAGGGGCACATACCCTCGCCTGACATAAGGCGGCGGACCAGGGGGAGGCGGATTGCCGATGTCCTTGATAAGCCCTTTCTCACTGCCAAACAATGGGGAGACAAGACAGGGGGAGAAGGGGTCAAGGGGGTTGCGTGCGTGGGGTGGGAGAGGGAAGGGGAGGGAAATAAGGGAGAAAGCAAGAGATGGAACGCGAGGAGGGATTTGGACAAGAAAGGAAAACGAGAGGACGGGGTGAGGAAAAGGGGGGGGGGTGGGGGGGGGGAGGGGGGAGGGAGAACGGGGAGGGGGGAGGGGGAGTTAACTGTAAACCGAGGGAGGCAGAAGGGTAGCGGAGAAACAGTGTGAGACTCTGGAAGGCGCTTGATGAGAGGCGAAGGGGGCGGTGACGTTGGGTGCGGAAGTGGCGGTGGGTGCGGAAGGGACGGTGGGTGCGGAGTAGGTGAAGACATTTGCAAGAGAGAAACTTCAGGCGAGCGAGTGATGGTGGGTGGCTCACATCATCTCCCTGCCTTCCACCCAACCCTAGTCCCAAATACCCCCCCCGGTCCCAGTCCCATACCCATCCCCAGCCCCAGCCACAGCCCCATACCCATCCCCATCCCCATCCCCATCCCCATCCCCATCCCCATCCCCATCCCCATCCCCAGCCCCATCCCCATCCCCAGCCCCATCCCCATCCCCATCCCCATCCCCATCCCCATCCCCATCCCCATCCCCATCCCCATCCCCATCCCCATCCCCATCCCCATCCCCAGCCCCATCCCCAGCCCCATCCCCATCCCCATCCCCATCCCTAGTCCCAGAGTGCACGCGTGGCAGGTGACTCACATGATCTCCTCGTTGCGGCCGTACTTGGCGAATTTCACCATGATCTCCCTACCGTCCACCGTGCGACCTGCAAGAGCAGGAGAGCAGCGGGAGCAGCGGGAGCAGCATCGGGAAGAAGAAGAAGACGAAGAAAAGAAAGAGCAGTTCAGATTCCTGTTGGGAACTGAAGAAGCAAGAGACGTGGCCAAAGGAAAGACCATTCGCATGCACACAACACAGCACACGGCAGACGGCACATAGCACGCAGAGCACAGCGCACAGCACGCAGAGCACAGCGCACAGCGCACAGCACGCAGAGCACAACGCACAGCACCGCGCCTCTACAGCCTGCGACACGGCATAGTCCGACACCCAGACGCCAGGCAGGCCACAACACTTTCTCCCGAACGCATCGTAGAACAAAAACACTCCTAGAAGCTTCGACGAACGCCGACATCCTAGATAGAGCGCCTTAAGAGCCTCTCAGGAAGGAGGGCCGGCCTTATGCGCGCGCCCCCTCCCCTCAGAGCGGCTTCAACAGCCAGCCACGCACCGTCGAGCTTCTCAACGGCTCTGGCGGCGTCGTCCTCGCGCTTGAAGCGCACGAAGGCGAAGCCGCGCGACGTGCCGGTCCTGGTGCGCGGGATGGGGACGAGAGAGCAGGTGATAAGGGAGGTGCCATGGGAGGAAAGAAGGGAGACGACGAGATGAGAGCGGAGTAGACACGGGACGTGAGAACAGAAAGAAAGAAAGAAAGGAAAAGAAAAGGAAAAGAGAAGGAAAAAAAAATCAAACAAAAAAAAAAAACAAAAAAAGAGGGTTCCGCGAAGGCTTTGTGTGTCATAGACACTAGTGCCTCACCGCGCGATCTAGTAAACAAAGTCGTCGATACCCCCTGGCGAGTCGACTTAAATAGTCATCGAGATCGCGAGACGGAATAAGGACGTGATAACATGAAAAGGGGGGGAGGGGAGGCGAAAGGGGAGGCGGAGGGGAGGCGAAGGGGGAGGAGGAGGGGAGGCGAAAGGGGAGGCGGAGGGGGAGGTGGAGGGGGAGGCGGAGGGGGAGCGAGAGGGGGAGGGGGAGAAGGAGAAAGCGGTTAGGAGAAAGAAGGGGGGAGGGGTGGGTGGGGAGGAAAGGGACGGTCACCTCTTGTCCCTGGGAATGAAGACATCGACCACCTCGCCGTAGCGCGAGAACATGGGCAAGAGTTCATCGCTGGTTGTACCTGGAGGAGAAAGGGAAGGTCAAGGGAGAAAAGAGGGAGAGGGATGAGGAAGGACGGAGTGAGGAAGGGAGGAGTGGGAAAGGGAGTGAGGGAGACCGGCAGAGGCAACAGCGGAGGGAATTTTTGAGTCGACTCAAAAAAAGGAGGACGGAGTGAGGAAGGGAGGAGTGGGAAAGGGAGTGAGGGAGACCGGCAGAGGCAACAGCGGAGGGAAGACGTGGATCCGAAACAGCGGGTTGCTGAAAAAGACGCTTGAATCGCCGAAATAGAAACTGGGGTTAGAAGCGCCTAGTCAGCGGTGAAGCGACGGTCAGATAGGGTACAAAACGCGGTGTATTACGGAAGGGCGCGGTGTCTCAGGAAAGTAAGCGGCCGTGTCTTACGGAAGGTGATGTTGAGCACAAGCAACGAGTATGTGTCGCGAATATCGGGAGGCGGCCGTCGCATCATCGTGGCGAGCGACGCGAACAGATGCGGAAGGAGTTATTAACCGACTACTAGACAGGAGCACGAATCGCAGGAACGAGGCGGGTGGGTATTGCACTAATCGCTGATACTAATTGCCGTGCAACAAGCAAGCAAGCGAGCGGACCCTAACAGCCGTGTCATGTGACTGCAACGCGGAACCAATCAGATCTATCCAGGAAATCAACTGACAAGGCGGAGAAAGTTTCAACCGAACCCTAGTGGGTGAGCCCCTCTGCTCGCCACAGCCGATCAAGATTCTTGAGATTTTTTAGATAAAGTGGAAATTATACCGGTGCTGAGCGGTGAATTGAAATGTGGCTTCTTCCACGAAGCAGTTACAGTACCGAGTGATCTCTTTTGTATGTATACATACAGATGTGAGACAGATTTGACTACATTTGGCCCCCCTGTGGCCTCGCCACAACAGTGCTGCGCCTGGCATGTAGGACCTAACTAAGCCTTCAAGATGCTTCTAGAGCACACAAACCCTGCTACAGCAACTGCACAGTATGGCATGCACCAGATGAAATTGCTCTCAAACAGCTGCATTTAAATTTTCTGTAGAATGCTTGTATGATGTATCATACTCAGTTCCCTTCCACCTTTCAGGATAGTTCTACTAGCATCTTGTGATTGCTTTATAGAGCCTTTTCAGTCACGTTCCTTCTAACATGCTGTAGCACCACAGCCTCTCACTCCCTCCTCTCACCTTCCCCTTCCCCATCCACCTGCACCTCCTCCAAGACACACGTGCAGTGAGCAGCGATGGCAAGGGAGACGTGCTGCTGTAGTTGCCGCAGAAAGTCAGAGGACATGTGAAGAGGAGTGAAGCCTCTTGACAGGTCAGCTGGTCGTGTTGGCTCGGCAGCACTTTGTGAAGAGGCTGCTTCTGCTGCTGAGTTCTCTTGCTGCTGATGCTGCTGTGAAGGAGGAACAAGAAGGGGGGGATATGGGATGTGATGTCATTTAAAAAAAACTGCGCCATGTTAAACCTCAGCTACAAGCCACATGCCCCTTAACCCATGCACACAATGCACGATCGTGCCCCACTTGCACAACGCCACATGAATCATGCCCCTCGCATCATGCCATGTGGTTGACGCCCCACGCCAAATGCCCGACGTCCCATGATACAACCCAGGGGCCCCATGTACCCTTCCCATGCTCCATGACCCCTGCCCCATGTTTTGAGTCAGCTCAGAACTAGCCCCATGTACCCTTCCCATGCTCCATGACCCCTGCCCCATGCCCCTTCCCCCCTGCCCCCTGCCCCCTGCCCCATGCCCCATACCCCATCCCCCCTGCCCCCTGCCCCATGCCCCAAACCCTGCGCCCCATGCTGCCCCTTCACCTTGCACGTGCCTGGGGGGAGGGCAGCAGGAGGGTATCGAGGGGCAGCAGCAGGCGAGAGGTGCTGCTGATGAACGCCCCCTGCCACTTGTACGCCTCACCCACCTGCGGTGCCCTCAGCTGCACCGGCACGCCTGGGAGGAGTAGAGGGGTGATCGGTGTGTGCAAGAAGGGGAGGGAGAACGGGGTGCAAGATGAGTGGGATGGGGAGATACGAAGTACAAGATGGAGGGGAGGAGGGAGGGAGAGAGGGGGAAAAACTGTTGTGGATGTCATGTCACCTTGTTATAATGTCTGACCTTTTAACACCGCCTGCCCTTGCTCTATTGCCTGCCCTTGCTCTATTGCCTGCCCTTGCTCTATTGCCTGCCCTTGCTCTATTGCCTGCCCTTGCTCTATTGCCTGCCCTTGCTCTATTGCCTGCCCTTACTCTATTGCCTGCCTTTGCTAGTCCCTGACCTTGCTGCTGGCAGACAGAGAGGATGAGGGAGCGAATGGTGCCTTTGAGCACGCCCTCCTCTGCTGTCACCACCACACCGCCTGCCTCCACCTGCACACATGCCAGGGGCCAGCAAACACATGCAATGCATCATCACGCACAGTCAAACACACAGGCGATATGATTGGTGCAAGCAGCGGAGGAACAGGGGAGGGGCAGGGGAGGAGCGAATAGTGCCTTTAAGCACACCCTCCTCTGCT